CCCCAAAACCCCAAAACCCCAAAACCCCAAAACCCCAAGATTATGAATTTAAAAGGCATTTATGAAATCAAGAAATAAGAATCTAATAGTTAATCAATATCTGCTAGATAAAGAACCCTCGAGAAATAGAGGCTCGAACACTTCGCACTTAACTGCAGATGCCGGTTACTCTCTTTATATACTTTTGTGATATTTACCCTTAATCTCTTTGACTTTCTCTTTGTTAGCCTCGACTTCATTTCTCTTAATTTTCAGCTTTATTCCTTCTTTAATTTTCTTATCAATCATATTTTTAGCTTGAGCGAATGACTAAATAAATCTCGTACTTTCATCCTTTTTCAGCTGATGATTGTGTTTTTATTTAATGACCGTTATTCTTGAAATTATTTTGTCTCTATGATCATAGTCTTTCTATCTTTCAATTAGTTTTTGTCTTAGAAATTTCTCTTCACTTACCATTCTCTGAAGGAATGTCTTTTAACTCTGTTCTTCATCCTTGTATATTTACTTAAAAATCAGCTGCTATTCCTTATAGTTTTCAATATCTTTTCGCTTATCTTCCAGAACTTGCAAAGTTGATTAAGCCAATGACTTTTTAAGTTCTAAATTCTAAGATCGCAACTCATCCGCGTTATGCTTTGCTTTGATCAATGATTTGACTCTTTGCATATCTCTAAGCATTTTGACTTGCTTAAAATAATCCTTTTTTATCAGCTATGTCTTCATATGATTATTTGCTCTTTCAGTATTCAAATTAAGGGTCATAGCTTGCTCTCTATAAGACTATCTGCTTGTTTTAGCTTGGTTATAATCTAAATTTTAATGATCAATTCTCATTGTCTTTTGAGACTTGTTTTCAATTATTACTTTGGACAACTATTATCCTCTCTCAGTAGATGGTTACTGAGATAGTCCAAATATTTTCTCATTCCTACTACTTACTTAAGCACTTGAGATATCTCTCTAGATCTTTGTAATAGATTTAGCTAGCATTTTCATCTTATCCTTATAAATGTTTTTGATTTGACTTCCATTCATTAGGATTTGCCTACCTAGTCCATTTTTTAGCCTCATTCTTATCATCCCTGGAATATGTGAAGTGAAGTTATTTATACTCTAGAAACTATTATAACTACTCTATCTTCTTCCCATTCTATTCCCAACATAGTTATTATGCAAAGCAAAGTTTTCATCTTAATTAGTTTTTAATTTCATAATGTCTTCATCACTAAGTATCAGACCTTGATGAGGTTGCTTCATCATATTTTGAACGAATTCCCCAGGATTAATTTAGGCAATGTTATAAAGCTTCCAAATCTTTAAGATATTTTCCATGCTTGACACAGAATCCTCTAAATGCTCCTAGGTAAAGAGCTTTACAAAGACATTAGGCCCACTCATAATGCTATAAGTTAGCAACCCTAATACTACAGCTCTTCTTCTTGCTTCTTCGACTGATCTGAAAGTCATTCTAACAAACTTTAATTTATAGTTTGGCATGTGAGATTCAGTGCATACTTCATGGTAATTTACTATATCGCAATCCATGTCTTCATTAATATGTATCAGTGACATTAAGTTGTCAAAGTTTATTGTGATTAACTCATTGTCGTTAATTATGTAGAGATTTATAAGAAGCCAAAAAGGCAGAGTATATTCCTTATATCTTTTAATTATATCGTGCAGGGGATCAACCACTGCCTTAAGATTTTTATCCTTGACATCAAAATGAAGATTCTGTTCAGGAAAGGTAAGATGAGTCTTTACTTAACTTGTGATCTGTGTAAGATTAAGGTAAATGTTTTCTTCTAAATAAAGAGTCTTGTCTTCTATCGAATGCAAAAATAAACTTAATTCATGTCTAAAATCATTATTATTTTGTATAGAAATAATTACAGAGCTTATAGTCTAAGTCTTAGTTTTCTATTCTTCCACCACTTTTGAATGCACACCACACTTCTTTTAATTAATATTCTTTCTTACAAATAAAGTCGTTGATAGCTAAAAATTGTTTAAAATAAAAGTATTACATATCAGATAAATTAGCCTTGGTAAAATCTATATTTTTGTATGAAAGTAATTTTCTCTATTCTTTCTATGCCCTATACCAAGTTTGAATTCTAGTTGCAGATGCTATTTAATTTAAAGTTTTCTCAAAGTACATTATAAATGGCTTCTTTATGGTTTGTTGATACATCATTACTTAATTGACAAAGTCAATCATTGTTTTATGATCTTCAAAGTAAATGCACATTAAATCTTGATATTGATCAGTGTAATTTGGATTATTTCTAAGCCTCTTTCTTATTTTCTTTTGCTGATTTATATATTTTTCCTTGTTATATCTAGTCCTGTTTTTTAATATTTTGAATTATCTCTTCTGATTAGGGTCTCCATTTATGCTATTAGAATAAAAATGATGCGGCATAACATCAGTCATTCCATTTTACAAAGGCTTGTTGAATCTAAGCTATGTGTTTAAAGAGAACATTCGGATAAAATTAGTAAGAGGTTTATCGGTTAATTACACCAAAGATGGGTCTCTTAATCTGATACTTAAATATTTAGTGCAAATAGCCTGATTAACATACTCATCTGAGTAGCCCATTGATTACAAAAGTGGAGCTTATTCTCTCTGATAATACAACAAAGGAGGATTTTAATATATATCAAATGCATCAACCCACGATCGCTTAGTTAAAATAAATGCTCTAATAAGAGCCTAAATTCTAATAGCTTTTTGGAATTAAAGCTTCTTTCGTTTTTAATTCATGATAAATTTCTTTCCATACTTCTAAAGAAGTAGGGCTGCTCTTAGTTCTCTTAATTGCTGTTAGGATAAAAGCAAGTGAGATAAGCCAGAATCTATTGCGAAATTTTCTAATTCTCTCCTACTTTTAAGTCTTAGAAACCACCCTCTAAATATTTTCTAAACCTTAGTAGCTGCATCATCTCTGCTTTTCTTAATGATTTTAACAGTTTTCCTCTCTCTGTATCCCCTAAAAGTTCTTTAGATTGCAATTATTGGGGAGTTCTTTTCATAGATTCTGCATAATTAGTAAACATCAATGTCGAGTCTCATTAAATGTTCTTCAGCAGTAGAACTTTGAAAATAATTAGGCATCTTGAGTTTCATATAGTCACTAAGAGATTAAAATCTATCAGAGGCGTCTACTCTGCAATTTTGAGATATAAACTTGCTGTTTCTTTCCTCATCAGTTACTATGTGTAAGTCTAATGCTTAAATACTTTAAATGCTGTTAACCATATAGTGACGATAGCCTGATATTTAAGCACATGGATTATTAAAAAGTGTAAGATGTCTTATATTAGAAAGTCCTGTTAGATTTTCCATATCAGCCCATTCTGCTATTAGGTTATCATGAAGATAGACGATTTTGAGATTTTTCATTGCATAGAATACAGTTTTTGAAGGAAGCTGAGATATGTTATTGTTTGAAAGGTCAATTTTTTATAGGTGTTTAAACCTGCTTAGGAAAAATAAATCCTTTGTTTATATTTAGTTTCCTTGTAGATAAGCAATAGTAAGGTTGTAGCAATCAAGCATTGATTCTAAGCAGTATGATAAATTTTTATTTCTCAAAGAGATAACCCTGATTTCTCTTAACTAGCTTGTCTCAGTAATTTCCATTAATAGCTCAGGTGTAATTTACTACCTGTTTCTAATCTCCAAAGTACTCTATACTCTAGATAGTCTTCCAGGTGATAAATTTGAGTCATTTAACTTCGGGTCTCTTGAAGGACTACTTTTGATAGGTAAAGCATTTGAATCATCTTCAATACTCTCTCTTTAGCTGTAGAAATGTGATTTCATATTAAATTTAATTGAATAATAAAACTATCTCTTCATCATTTTGAATCTTTATTACATGGGGTTTTGGGGTTTTGGGG